CATTATACTCTCTACACTCTTGAAATGAAATTTCATAGGTAATATAATCTAATAGTTACCTATTTTCAGAATTCAGTATCGGTATAATTCCATAAGTGGAACATAAAGGAGAGAGAGAATGAAAATAACTTATAATTAAACAATGTGTATTTTAGTATGTAAATGCTCAGGCGTGACTAGACTAGAAGACAACTAAGAAGTCATGTACATGCATATGATTGCTGTGAAAAGGGAAGTACAAAATGCAGATCAGAAAATGTGTTTTATTAGTAATGCAACCACTATGAATGGTGGTGCCTTTGTGGTATGCTTTTATGAAATATTGAATAACTTTAGCTAAAGTTCTTAACACAGTCTTTCCTTGATTTACCTAGAAAATTTAGTGCTATTAAGACTATGTTAAAAACACGCTTTTTGTTTATATATATGAAAGGAGGTTATGTCTAGGCATAAATGTCTGATTGAACATTTAAAAGTCACGTTGGATTTGGAACAGTTCTTCATTGTCTGGAACTGCCCTGCACAGGATGTCCCGCATCTCTGGTTCCTGGCCACTAAGTGCCCAATGTACTCCTAAAGCACCATTATAAAAAGTACCCCATACATTTCCCAAAGAACCTCAGGATTATCCCTGCTGGGAAGCACTGGTTTAGTTAGTTTATGTTCTGAATCAATATAAATACGGTAACAATATATGAAAATACAGGGTGGGACAAAAGCATGTTTACAGTTGTTAGTATAGAAAATAATATAATAATCTATAATAATAAAAGTGTAATATGCTAATTAGACCGGACAGCCAAATGACCTTCTGGATGTCCTTCCGGACGACCTTCCAGATGAAGCCGCGGGGGCGAGGCAGAGGCGGCCACCGCGGTGGACAGGGAGCCGAGGCAGAGGTGGTTAGGGGTGATCAGGCAGGCAGGTGAGCAGTTAGGGGCGATCAGGCAGGCAGGCAGAGTGGTTAGGGGCAATCAGGCAGGCAAGTGAGCAGTTAGTGGCAATGAGCCAGGCAGGCAGAGTGGTTAGGGGCGATGAGGCAGGCAGGTGAGTGGTTAGGGGCGATGAGGCAGGCAGGCAAGTGGTTAGGGGCGATGAGGCAGGCAGGCGAGTGGTTTAGGGGCAATCAGGCAGGCAGGCAGAGTGGTTAGGGGTGATCAGGCAGGCAGGCAGGCGAGTGGTTAGGGGTGATCAGGCAGGCAGGCAGGCGAGTGGTTAGGAGCCAGCGATCCTGGATTGCGAGAGAGATGTCTGACTGCCAGTTTAATAATAATAATAAAAGTGTAATATGCTAAACTGGCAGTTAGACATCCCCTGAGGGGTCCCAGATTGCGAGAGGGTGCAGGCCTGGCTGAGGGACCCCTGAAACCCCCCCCCCCCCGCCGTGCATGAATTTCGTGCACTGGGCCTCTAGTTAATAAAAAATAATACAAAAATAAGCTTTGTGTTTTACATATGCACAGCTGTAAACCTGCTTTTGCCCCACCCTGTATATAGAGTCTGAAGTTGTTTTTGTCATGCATGTACTGAAAAATGGAATTGAGTCATAAATGTCTTTTATTTCCTTCTTTTCCACCTAAACTCTTGTCTCCCAATGTCTTTGTTTCTTAACACAATATTTTAATTTCCTTTATCCTTTATGCTAACTTGTGCTTATTGTACATCATTGTTCATTTTGAACTACAAGAACAGAAAACATTACAGCTGTATTGTGAACAAAATCTTAATTACATCCTGTATTTGCAGTAATGGAAGAAAACAGGAAAAAGTAAAATCAAGAAGGTTGTTTGAGAAACTGGCAGATTTCATGTTATGTTATAATGTGTCGTTGAGTTCTAGACCCAGGCTAAAGTTTGTAGAGTGAAGATGATGCCTAATGTTTTTGTGTGATTGTGGGGTTTTGATTCAAAGTCAAATACAGTAACTTCAAAGATTTTGTTGTAAGTCTTTCCTTGGTATGCGTCCGTTAGTAAGCCTTATTAAGAAGTGATGGTGAACAATAAGTCCTAACAATTAATGTTGTAAAAACATGGATTTTAATATCATGGTAAGAAATGGAGTAGGCTGTAAAGCTGACACTATATTACAGACCAATTTCAAGTAATGTGATTGTTTATAATATAATATTTATATTGATCTGATTTGACTTTTAGATGAAAAGAATGAGTATCTTTCTTGCCAAAGTGAGTGGGAAGAAAAATATGTTGTCTGATGTTTTCATGCAGTGATCTAGGAATAGCCTTGAGAAACATAATGTTTAGTTTCTAATTATTGTTGAGAAATGAAAGCTCAATATTAATTATGCTAAAGTCCTAAATTGTTTTTGATAAGAATTCTCAAACATTTGGATGTTTAAAAATGCCATCTAACAGATCAATTGGCTCATTACCTAGGGGTACATTTTGTAGTTACTTCACTCTGGTGAGCTGAGCTGCTCAAAGCTGGAGGTTTTACCAAAGGAGCAGTGAGTGAGCCTTTGTAGTTCAGTATTGATTAGAAGCTGTGTCTCAGCCTTCCTTTAGGAGGGCAGTCCTTTTTCAGCCGGCAGTTCCTCCGGCTTTGAACAGAGCCCAAGGAGCTCGCTCTCTCAGAGACCCCCCGGCCCCGTGTGGCTCACTCCGGCCCACACGGCCAGTCCACTGAGGGCACCTGTCAGGCTTCTTGACGTCTAACACGAACGAAAACTTTCCCACCACAGTTATGGTTCTCTCTTCAGTCGGCAGTCAGAAGCATCAGCACCCTGGTTTTCTCTCATTGCGAATGAGATTTGATTTGACTGCTGAACCCACTCTCATTCCAAGACCAAATGAAGGAAAGAAAGTCAGTCTCTACCAGTTTTACATCCACAGGATGGCAGTTACAATCATGGGAAACTGTGTTAACTAATACATACAAGTTTCTTTAATGCAGAGCTTTTTAGAACTTCTAGGAAGCTAAACGTAGTATTTTGAATCTCCCAGCAGGGTCTTTATTATGTTGTGGTTTTCAATCTTATTTGACAATGGAGCCATAATTTTTTAGGGATCTTACACATGTTGGCAATTGCTAATTGCTATTCCAGGACTAGCCCCCTGAACAATAGAAACATTCCCCCCACTGAGTTAGGTTTTAATATGATGCCTGTTAGTGAGGACTGACGTGAGAAGTGGCGGTAGGAAAGGCCATTGTAGTTGTAAACGATTGTTGCAGACATTGTCCAGTATGGTGATTAGCTCTCTCAGAACGAGTTCCTCCTGTGATTTACTGCTTGGTTTTTACTGCTTGGAACTATGCGTTTTTCTTTTCTGTCAAGTGAGAATTAGATAAGCTATTATGCTTTTTTTTTTTCCCCTTGCCTGTAAGGCAACTCAAATAAATGTGGCTCCCAGCACAGTAATTATTTAGCTCTCATGCTTAGCATACTAAGGATTTTACTCTCCCCTTTCATGTTTACGTAGCTCATTAGTTAGATCCCTGCTGTCGAGCTTCCCTTTCCTCATCTATAATATAAGGCTCTACCTTTTGGATTATTGTGAAAATAAAATCTTTTTTAATTGCGTGGTCATGTGTGTGGCACACTGTGGAATATGAAGTAAATGCTATAGTACTTTTTTCATAATTTTAACATTTTTTGTTTCCAGTTTCACAACCTTATTTTATATACATCTTTACTTTGGAGCAGCTCAGTCTTGTTTAGAAGTGAGAAGTATACATACTAAGAAAAAAGATTACACGCATCCCATTCAGAGCATTGCGACAGTGGGTGTGAGGGAATGAAGTGAGGTAACCCTGAGTAGAGTTGATGACAGAAGTGATGTACCCCTTGTGAACGATGTCTCCAGGATTGGGGTTATGAGGAAGTAGCAGCAGACATGGCTTCCCCCAACAACTTGGTAGGGGTAGCCTTTCTGAGCAAAATGCTGGCTTGAACTTGAATCCGAGTCAGTTTCAAAGTAGCTGCAGCTTTTGTGAAATTTTTGGTTGTGCTGCATGTTTGTGCTGCAAGTGGAAAAAAGAGAGTTCCTTCTAGGAGATTTTCAGGCCCAGAAGCTGGGAAGCAGACCTACAATTTCTGAAATAAGAAGTGTTGTGAGCATCGGGCATGTCAGTGATGGGACTTCCAACTCTCGTTGGGAAAATAGAACATACTGGACGTTTGGTCTAGCTGTCTCTCCTCCACCAGGGCTAAATATTAGGTAGCCTGGCATTTCTTTCCATGTGGATGTAATCCACGAGAGGAGCCGTGGCATTTCTGACCCAAGACTCAGAGAGAGAATGCCCTTCCCTGTAGCCCTCTCGTCCCGAGTGTTGCAAGATTGGTGACTGGCTCACTGGTCTCTTCTCTTCAGCCACACCAGCATGTGGCGAAGATCCTGGGTTAAGTGGCCTTCTAATTTATCACCCACACTACATTTTCTGAAGGAAATGGGGCACTATTAATAAGGACAACATAAATAAGACATTCCTGGGCAAACAGGACATTTGATCATTTTAGCTAACAACCCCTTTTCTATGTTATCTTAAAAAACACAGAGGTTTTATATTTTTTGTGATGTTAGCTCTCCTGATATGTCTGTGCTCACTATAGTAGCAGAAAATGCAGAAGGCTATCTGCTCTGTTTTGATTTTCCTGAACCATGTGTTTTGTTTTCTAATTTGGAGTGTATTTTCTTTTTATATTCAAAGTCACTGTCTATTATTGCATCCTGTTTAATCTGTAAAAGACCATCTTATGAATTATTGAGTAAGTCATAATGATTCTTTGTTTGGACTCCCCCAGCCAGGTAATAATGGGGGCGTGGGGGGGGGGAATGAAAGGACAGAGGTGAAGCAGAAGCTCTCAGTGCCCAAGCCGGGTAACTGCATACTTGGTGAAGACTGAATCGTGGAGCATATTGCTTTCATTTCCTATTTTGAAGTGATATTTAGGCGGTTGAAATTAATGTTGGTAACTCCCAAACCAGTGCAAATGAAAGTTAAATTTTATGTCTTGTATGCTCTCCCCACTCTTATCTTAACAGAAGAAAGCTTGGCCAGACCACAAGCGGGAATGCAAATGCCTTAAAAGCTGCAAACCCAGATATCCTCCCGATTCCGTCCGACTTCTTGGCAGAGTTGTTGTCAAACTTGTGAGTAGAGAACTTGTGAAATATTCTTGGTTTTTAATTTAACAAAAGCACTCACATTTGCATATATTATTCTTTAAAAAATATGTTTTTATTGATTTGAGAGAGGGAGAGAAACATCGATTGGCTGCCTCCTGCACGCCCCTGTTTGGGATGGAGCCCGCAACCAGGGCATGTGTCTTGACGGGGAATTGAACCTGGGACCTCTTCCTGGATGGGATGACAGGACACATGTATTATTCTTATTTAAGGCTGAATTTAAATCCATATGGAAGTAGAAGGTGGATTATTACAGGGCGTGTCTTAAGTCAACAGCTTGCTGTTTTCCTATCAGTCACAGCATCAGTGGTGGTAATGACGTGCACGGCCCCTCTTTGAAGGCCCTGGGTGTGATCTCCTGGGATTGGAGACAGGAGGTCCTGTATTTGTCACATGAGATGTTAGTAGAATCTGTTATGTTGCCTTTATTACTTTTCTACTGTGAACTAATGCACAGGGTATATATATAATTCTTGTCTCTTCAACTGAGATTTGAATTTTATGATAATTAATCTTACATGGAAGAGTACTTATTTTTTTATTTACAGTCAGCATTCAGTGAAATTGTGTCTTCAGTTCTTTTCTGTGCTCTGCCAAAACAACTAGTGGATTCTGTGACATCCCCCTCTGGTGACACCTTCCAGATTTTTGGGGTCAGCCTTTAGCATGAGTATCTCTCAAGTTATTGCAAACTCCAGCTCTGTTCTCTCCTGTTTTGTATGGACTTTTTTTTTTTCTGGCTATGAAATTTTATAGGGGTATTTAAGAATGTAAAAGTATGATTATATACATAAAACTAATGCAATGTTATATTTCAGTTACATCTTAATTTAAAAAAGGATTTGCAATACCAAATGGACATTGTCTTTGGACTGAATATGCAACATACATATTTACTACTATGTGTACATTGTGTTAAAACTTACAAATTTATTTCAAAGCATTAATAAATTTAGAGCAAGTTTTATCATTATGCATTTCTTTAACCACTGGATATTAAAAGTTTAATCTGTTATATTTGAGTGTGGACTTTTTTCTACTTTATTAGGTCCTAGTTCTCAGTCACTATCCCTGATCTACTGAATCAAAATTAAAAAGGATTCAATCCTATATAATAAAAGCCTAATATGCTAAGTGTCCAGTCATCTGGTCATCCATTCAACCAATCAAAGCATAATATGCTAATGATAGTCATCTGGTCATCCATTCAACCAATCAAAGCATAATATGCTAATGATATGCTAATGCTGCTCAACCACTCGCTATGACGTGCACTGACCACCATGGATCAGACAGTCGACTGGTCGACCAGTCACTCTGACATGCACTGACCACCAGGGGGCAGACGCTCCGACTGGTAGGTTAGCTTACTGCTGGGGTCCAGCGGATCGGGACTGAGCGAGACAGGCTGGACACGCCCTGGATCCCTCACATGGTCCCTCCCTGGCTGGACATCCTCCCGAGTCCCTCCCCGGCCTGGAACGTGCACAGGTGGGCTCCTTCAGCCTGGACTGCACCCTCTCGCAATCTGGGACGCCTCAGGGGATGTTGGAGAGCCGTTTTGGCTCTATAGCAGAACGACTGGTCGCTGTGACACGCACTGACCACCAACTCCATTGCAGGAGCTGCCCCCGGGTGTCAGTGCACTCCTACAGGGGGAGCGCCGCTCAGCCAGAAGCTGGGCTCATGGCTGGTGAGCACAGAGGTGGTGGCGGGAGCCTCTCCTGCTTCTACAGCAGTGCTAAGGATGTCCGAATGACAGCTTAGGCGGGGAGTGGGCCTAAGCCGTCAGTCAGACATTCCCCAAGGGCTCCTGGACTACAAGAGGGTGCAGGCTGGGCTAATGGGCGCCCCCCCACCCCGCCAAGTGCACGAATTTCATGCACGGGCCTCTAGTTGTGAAATAGTTACTTTCCATAGAGTACTTTCTATCTCCAGGCCTTGTGGTAATCACTTTACCTGATATACCTTATTTCACACCCAAAACAGTCCTGTGAATCAGCTGCTGTTATTACTCTTATGTTCCAGATAACAAAATTGATTCCTCTTGACTAAAGGTTAAGCATCTTGTCCAAGGTTGTACAGTTTGTAGTAGATTCTTATTTTTATTGATCCATCTTTGCTTTTTTATGATAATTTGTAATAAAATTCTTACAGTGATTGCATGGATAGAACTGTGGAAAAAAATAAAAGTATGAAATCTTGTAAAAGAGTTTTTACATTTGGAAATTAAGCTTGTGGTTAAGTCACAGCTTTTATTTTATTAAGTTGTTACTGATTAAATAATTGAACTGTAAGAACGTGGTGAAGAGAAGGAATATACTGGATAGAATTTTACTTTTTTAATATACTTTCATTAAATGTCTAAAGATACTCAAACATATTTATTTATATATTGGAAAACTTGAAATTGTTTTGGTGTTTTCCGCCTTTACTTCATAGATGGAAGAAACCCCCTCTGAATCGGAGAAACTTTACTCATTTTATGATCTGGAATCAAGTAAGTGATTATCTATCAGCATAAAAAAATCCTGTCATTTATTTCCTGAGATGATGAATTGCTTTGTTTTTTGTCTCTCTGTTATGTGAGGGAAATCTAACATGTGCATATTTAATTTATTCTGGGTAGCTTTGGCCATATAGGAGTTTGTAAAGTGCCAGGTTAGGCAGTGAGGGGAATGTAACCCCTAGTCCAGTTGAGAAAATAATTTTTCTTCTGTTTCTCCCTCACTTACTCTCTTCTTCCCACTCTTGCTTTCTTTTTGATGTCAGGAAACTGATGTGAACAGGGTGGGGTCCTGGTGTCCAGGGAACATTTAGGTTCACTGGTCGAAACACAGGTGACTTAGGCTCTCTAACAGCATTGAGCATTGTTCTTCTCCTGATGGCCGAGCTACTTGGGAACAGTGAAAGGCTTTCCAGATCCGAATGTTAGGTAAATGTAGGGTGTGTTTTTCTTTCATGTTGGCACAGACACTCTTCATTGAGGTTGCGAATGATTTCAACGCAAAAGTAGCCAGAGCTCATAGAGTAAATTGGCTACACAGTTGAAGATTTGTGTTGGAGGTGAATTTGGTACAGATTTATGGTGATGGGATCCCACTTGCCAGTGAGAATACATTATTATTTAAGTATCACCAATCATTAGAGAGATGCAGATCAGAATTACAGTGAGATAATCATCCCATCCCATTAGGATGGCAACTATAGGGGAAAAAAAAGAGAAAACAAGTGTTGGCGAGGATGTAGAGGAAGTGGAACGGTAGGAATGTAGGATGGTATGGCTGCTATGGCAAACAGTATGGAGGTGCCTCAAAAAATTAAAACTATAATGACCATACATTCCTGGATTCTGGTTATACACTCAAAATAATTGAAAGCAAGTATTTATTCATCTATATTTATAGCAGTATTAGTCACAATAGCTAAAACTTGGAAGCAACCAAATGTCTATCAATGAATGAATAGATAAGCAAAATGTGTTATGTATACACAATGGAATATTATTCAGCGTTAAAAAGGAAGGAAATTCTGACATGCTACAACATGGATGAGTCTTGAGGGTGTTATACTAAGTGAAATAAGGTAATCTCGGAAAGACAAATACTGTATGATTCCACTTATATGAAGTACTTAGAGTACTCCAGATCATGAAGAAAGAAAGTAAAATGGTGGTTCGCAGGGGCTGTGGGAAGGGATGAATGGGAAGTTATTGTTTAATGGGTATAGAGTTTCAGTTTTACAAGGTGAAAAGTATTATGGAAATGGATAGTGGTGATTTTGCATAACAATGTGAGTGTATTTGATACTACTGAACTGTATAGTTAAAAATGGTTAAGATGGTAAATTTTATGTTATATATGTTTTCCCACAGTTTTGAAAATAAATAACTGGGTTAATTGTTCTGTTGAACAAGTAATTTAAAGAAAATATGTAGATCTGACATGATCAACAGAATTATGCTCTAGTTCAACTGATGTATTTTTTCTAGTTTTAACAGAGAACTAATTAGTCATTTTTTTGATGTTATTGCTAAGTAATTAACATCTCTTGGAATGAGTTTCACTATTAACATTAGCCTTGCTCACTAGCAGTGTTGTACACACTGCCTTAAGTGAAATGCTCTCGAAGTTTATTAATTGAATTGTGCATTCTTAACCTTAACACTCCTTGATGATATACATTAACTGATATTGGCTGTAGAACTTTCTTCTGTTTCAGTTGAAGTAGCACCATACCTTGTTTATTCAACTGAGAAATGATTTGACCTTGAGATTTCTTTGGATGATCCATATTTTCTTGTTGATGTGCTTTCTGATGACAAATTTTACCACTCTGAACTTTAGCTGAACTTTTTATTTCTATTTTTTTTAAAAAAATATATATTTTAAAATATATTTTATTGATTTTTCACAGAGAGGAGGGGAGAGGGATAGAGAGTTAGAAACATTGATGAGAGAGAAACATCGATCAGCTGCCTCCTGCACACCCCCCCTGGGGATCAAGCCCGCAACCTAGGTATATGCCCTTGACCGGAATCGAACCCGGGACCCTTCAGTCCACAGGCCAATGCTCTATCCACTGAGCCAAACCGGTTAGGGCTTCAGCTGAACTTTTTAGTTTTCACTTTCTGTCCCCCTGCCCCTCGGGAGATGACCTTGTTGTAAATTGTTTCATAGAAAAGTCTGCTTACATTCACTGATTTAATAAGGATTTATCATGTTTGAACATGTGTACAGGATGATATAGAAAATGTGGTAACACATCTTTACTGATTTTGTTTCTAATATTTTTCATCTGTGTGTGTATTTATTTTGCTTTGATAAGTGTTTGATCTTACAGTATAGATGAACGGTGGCAGAATTCAATTGCTAATGTATGTATCGTGATTTGTAGTTGGCAAAAAATAAAAAAGATATGTGTTTGCTCTCTGTCAGAATGGAATCTAGGGCAGGAAATAGCTAGTTAACAGTTATCTTTGAACACCTGAAAATTATCCATTAAAAGTTCACTGTGTGATTGTGCTATTTATTTTCTCTTTAAAAAAGATATTAACAAACTGACTGAAGATAAGAAAGAGGGCCTCAGGCAACTTGCAGTGACATTTCAACTTTATATCAGAGAAGAAATACAAGATGTTTCTCAGCTGCCACCTTCCTTTGACATCTTTGAAGCCTTTGCAAAAGTAAGTGTGACGTTTGGTATTTTTGCTAATGCTCTACATCAACCCTTCACTCTTTATTTTGTTGTTGATCCATGAAAATCCAGGACCCTTCGTGTCTTATATCACTCTCCTACCTCAATGAGTAGAGAATGAAAGACTGTATTACTTATATTTAAAAGGGTATTTACTTTTAATGTTTTATTCAGTATTCTTATTAATGACCCAAGTATGTTCATTGTCAGCTCTCAAGACACACTCTGCCATTGCATTCATTTAGTTTTGTCATGGTGTTTCAGTAATACAGCCTGCTTTTAAATTACATTTATTGGGGTGACAGTGGTTAATAAGATTATATAGGTTTCGAGTGTACGATTCTATGATACATCATCTGTATATTGCATTGTGTGCCCATCACCTAAAGTCAAATCTTCTTTTGTCACCATATATTTAACCCCTTTACTCTTTACTACTCCCCTACCCCCCTTGCATCGGGTCCACCATACTGTTGTCTGTGTCTTCTTTGACTTATGTCACTTAGCATAATACCCTCCAAGTCCATTCATGTTGTTGCAGATGGCAAGATTTCATTTTTTTTGGTTGACTAATATTCCATTGTATATACGCACCACTTCTTCTTCATCCGCACATTGACTGATGGGCACTTAGGTTGCTTCCATATCCTAGCTATTGTAAATAAGGCTGCAGTGGACATATGGATGTGTATGTCTTTGGGAATTTGTGTTTTGGGTTTCTTCAGATAAATACCCAGAAGTGGAATTGCTGGGTCCTTCTTTGTCTCTTGTTATAGTCTTTGTTTTAAAGTCTGGTAGTAAGTACTGCTACCCCAGCCTTTTTGTTTGTTTGTTTCCATTTTCATGAAATATCTTTTCCCATCCCTTTACTTTCAGTCTATGTGTTCCTCTCTGACGTGAGTCTCTTGTAGGCAGCATATGCAAAGGTCTCATTTTCTTATCCATTCAGCCACCTATGTGTTTTGATTGGAGCATTTAATACATTTACATTTAAAGTGATTATTCATAGGTATGTGGTTATTGCCATTTTATTATTTATATTTTTGATTTTTTAAAAATTTTCTTCTTAAAGAAGTCCCTTTAACATTTCTTGTAATACTGGTCTGGTGGTGATGAACTCCTTTAAGCTATGTCTTATCTGGGAGCACTTGAGGTTTAGATTGTAGGGGTTTGCTGTATAAATACATCCTCTCCACTTACGAATTTGTTGCCTGGCTGTAAAATTTAAGTAGCATGAGACATAGGAGTGAGAACCTTTTCTAGAGGGTACCAAGGAGAACTTCACGTAGGAAGTAGAAGTGGATGCTGGAATTCCAGGAGAGAGGATGGTGCTGGGAAACAGTTATAGACAGTGGTCTAGAAAAGTGGCTGGGACTGCGGGGAGCTGAGAGAAAGATTGATCTCCTCTGCAGATCTGAAAGGTAGCTGCCACCTGTGGAGTACATAGCAGTTATACTTAGATCTTTTGAATAAAAGCTTGATGTTTAAAATGCTGGTTTTGCATTTTGGCAACAGAAAATTTGTGAGGGTAATAGTACCTCCAGAATTCCTATAGAGAGGGTGCTGTGGGTGATCATCTGTTTGGATGGACAGACTGAAGTGATTTGCTTGAAGGTTCATTTGCAGAGCAGTTTTTTATTTTTAGATTGTGTTACTTGAGGGGAGGGCGAGGTGTGCCTGGATGGAAATAAAGGTATGAGGTAGGAGGAGCGTGATGGTTGCTACTGACACGAATGAAGGTGGCCAAAGGATGGGAGGTACATTGCAGATGCTTGTTAGTGAGAGCACAGGAGACATGCAGTTACTTATATGTTCATGAAAATAGAAGCCAAATTCATGTGTGCCAACTCTGCTGGATTGTTAGCGAAGAGAACTATGTGTCCATCTCTGCCATCCCCTCCTCCTTCTCATCCCGTATTTCCCCTCTACTTCTATTTCAAACACAATTTCCTGATATATTTCAAAATGGGTTTATCTTGGCATGACGATTGCAGTGGTTCAGTCTATTGATTGAGTTCTAAACATTTACTACAAATATAGGAAATGTGTATATGAATAATATAAACCTTAAAAATGGAGAAAGTAACAGAGAGGATACATTTGAATGGGGCACTGGGCCGCGCTCAGCATGGCCAAGGATGAACCTGAATGGTGGGCAGTGAAGGATTAAAAAAGACAGACAAGAGAATAAAGCTGGGGCTAGGTGGGATGCTGCTCTCAGCTGGAGAGACAGTGCCACAGCCTGCAACCTGAGTCTTTATTTTATAGCCAGATCCCACGAGGCAAAGTAAGGGCGTGGTCAAGATGTTTACAATATTCTCCCGGGTTTCGAATCCACTCAATTACATGCATCTGAACTCTGTCAAGCTTTGTTTGGGCAGCACTTGCCGCACCTCCTGCAGCCTACATCACTCAGCCACCTGGGACCACAGGTTCGGACCATAAGGTCAAGTTCACAACCATAGCCTTTGGCTATAATTGTGCTGGAAGGGCTTTGCCCTCCAAGCTGGGACCTGCATGTGGCTTTGCCAGGAGAGGACTGTGCCCTCTCATTGGTCCGAGGCTTGAACCTGTCCAAACACTGTAGCCACTCTCCACAGGGCACTGAATAGTACTATGTGGTTAAATCGCTTTCTCAGGCAAGTAATTGAAATGCTCTCAACCTCAATCTCCCCATCTGTAATTGGAATAATAATAAAATCAATTTCACAGATAAAAGTACTTAAAGTGTCTCGCGCTACTACTCCTGCCCTCTACTACCGGCTTTATTCATATGCTGCTGTAAGACTGCAGTGTCGTATGTCTTCCGTGCTGTCGTCTAGAGCAGCGGTCGCCAACCTTTCGGACCTCATGGACCACCAGTGGTTGGTGACCGCTGATCTAGAGTGCCGCCTGCGACTGACTGTAACCCAGAATCTCCGTTGGTTGCTCAGTTTTGCCCAGTGCTGGCTTCTCTTGAGTGCTGAGAATGACTATCTTGTTTGAGAAGAAATTTTGCAAACAGGATATAGTACCTTTCCCTTAGTAACTGACTTGGTTTCAGCCCATAGCTATTGTGGGCAGAAATCATATACTGTGTCCTGCACTCATGACAGCCCCATGATTTCAGAGTAGTTCCTTGGGATGTCATGTAGGAAATGTACGAGCAAAGTGTTTCTAACACATGCATCTTAAAAGGATGGAGTTAAATATAAAAGTTATTCAGTTATCCTGCTATAATCCACTGAAATGGCATGGAATGTATAGTATTTCTCTATTCCATCCCTCAGGGTGTACATTGATAATTATTATATCGATAATTGGTAATGGTTATTTATAACTTAATGTCAGTAGGCCTAGATTTGAGCTTATTTTCTATGCACAGAATATAGGTTGTAGAAAAATGTACTTAATTATTTTTTCTGAACTTACAACTTCCTTTTCTAAAAAATGAATTTGGTAGACACGAAATGTGATAAGATCTGAAAAATAAAGCAGAAAATAAACCAGTTGCATAAAATGTTTCAAAAACAGACCGTAAATTGGAAGCAGCAAGAGTAAAAGTGACCTCCTAATCACAAAACATGTCATTGTTGGTGTTTTCAGAGCCCAGCAAAGTACTTGTTAACTTCATAAAATGGTACAACTGCCACCGCATTTTTTGATTAGAAATTCCACATCTATTTGGGAAGATGTTCCCTCCCTTTTCCTTTCAAACAAAATAAGAATTCTCCTGATAGCATGTTATTTTTATTCTTTAGGGCACATATGTGACCTCCAGACTCTAATTTTTAATGCTACGAGTTGCAGCTGGTTTTGCAATATACACTGTGATTGTATAGCTTTGAAAGTGAGGATTTTAGAAGGTGTTTTATTTTGGTACAGTGATACTTAAATTTTACATTCAGTTTTATTAGTGGTAAATTCTTTTTTATTGGAGACGTTTTTTCATTAGAGTAACAATGGAGGATATATTAAATCAAGAATCTTGCTAATTTATAATATGAAAAGAGGAGTAACAATATTTTTGATTGAGATACATACTTGCATTTGGGTGGTATATGCCATTAGACATAGAGTGATAATAAACAATCTATATGATGTTTTGCCATAACCTCATAATTTTAGTGGAGCATATATATCAACATGGAGGAAGAATGACTAAATAACTGTTTTTGTCCTTTTTTATTTGCTGAAGAATGGTGTACCTCAGTAAAAAGCAAGAACAAGTTCATGATATGTTCAGTTATTAATCTTAACATTTCAGTTCTGTTGGCTCTCTCATTCTGGATATGCTGGTGTTTTATTACTTACGTGTTGTGGGAGGCTAATTTGTGGGAAGAATATTACCTTCATTGTTTTGAAAGGTCAGGGGTGTGTGTGTGTATTTGCCACTTGAGGGCTTCAGGGGTTTCATATAGGACCAAATTTTAGAGCTTTTTGTGGATCAGCTCAGTTGGGTTTCACCACTGTAGCATGCTATAAAGTAGTAAAGAAAGCAATCTTTTGAATTAATAAAGTGATGAATTACCTAATTACAAATTTGATGGGAAAAGGCAGTATGATAACTTTCACTGCATTACTAAATGATCCCAGTGACTGATCAGATGTGCCTGGGTTCTATTAAGGAGAAATATGCCATTAAATATTTAGTACTGAAAGCGAGCAGACACCCAGGACTGCTAACCTCCGGTCACCGGGAGCTGCATCTGTATACGTGGAGGTGGCTGCTGCGTGAGCGTCTCTCTTGTCTGCTCTCAGCAGCTGCTAGAAGACTTAGTGATTTGGGTTGCACCTCTCTTCTGGTTTTACGTAAAGCAGGCAAACAGCCAAGATACTTAACTGCACACGGAACCCGGCATTCTAATTATGAAATGCTGATGCATTTATGATTTATATGTTTTTCCTTCATTACAGTAGATTGAAACTCTGAGTGGATTGAAGAGACAATTATTCTCACAAATGGTCTTCTAAGTTATGTGACAATTGTAGGACACTTGGGCTTTCTAA